AGAACTAAAACATTCGAAGTATTTATATGTTTTATATATATATGACTTAAAATGGATGATTCTTCTCTAGCCAAATGACATAGTGAGGCTCAAAAACCTTTAAGGCTTTAAAGATTTGAACAGGATGCTAACTCAATGTGTTTCCACTTCACATTAACTCTATAAAACACATTTAAGCTGGTGGATTCATTAACATGAACATTAGAAGCACACAGGCTGAGTCAAGTAATGCATCAAACCATGGAAGCAATATTCACTTTAGCTAAAGCTGATTTGTCTGTAATCAAAGTCTTTAACCAACATTTAGGTCCTTTGTTTGAAGTTTATATCTGGGAAAGGCTTATTATGCCTCAGAAATTCTCATCTTTGTCAGAAAGTAAGATCCCAAGCAGTAGTCAGTTTTAAGATTCCTTGGTCTAATGTCAAAATTCCACTGCGTTTCAATAACCAGTATAAGAATAAAGAGACACAGAAGAGGTATATTTTCCTTTATTGTTTATTATAATACAAGGAAAACAAATCTAAAAAGCACATTTCATGGAGCACCATATTGTAACAAAATTTTGCTGGCTCTCCTACAAAGTATATTTTTGACATTTAAACAATGACACACACATAGTCAGTACACACAGGCATCTACACCCTGGTGATCTTATTAACAGTCCCAAAGAGACCCCTCTTTCAAATGCAGAAACACTAAGGTGCACAGAGGAATGGCAGTGTGAGGGCATCTGAACGCCAACGGAGTTAATTACTCTTTTGTTAGCGATCTTCATAAGCACACCAGCCTTCATTGTCTCACCCTAATCTCTCTTCTCTGAAGCCTCCAAATTGGGCCCAAAGATCACTGAATATGGATCCGGCACAGACATGGTGTAGAGTTGAACAAAACTGGCCAGTATTCCCTAACCTGATACCTCTTATTGCTTTGGTTATAGTACTGAATGAAAGTCTTAAAAACTCTTAAACCTACACCCCACATCACAGAAAAGCCACTTTCACACATACAGAAACATAACCTCCTTCCCCACACACACCTGAACACACAGCACTGATACCTTTTTGAGAAGTTTTATGGGTTTCCCCACCAACACCACCTTCATAAAAATGATTGCATTTTTTTTTCAAAGTGTTCGGACAGTTGTTCAACAATATATTTCATAATATATTTCTTTCTTTTTAATAGACAGGGCATGTTTTCCTGCTGCCTTAAATTTATGTCATTGTCTACACAAAGCAAGAGCAAAATGCTATCATTTTCACCTGTACAAAATGTTTTACATTCATTTTATACAGTGCTAAATAATGATGCTAAGCACAGAACAATGTAGAATGATAGCCCAGAATAGCTTTTTACTTTTCTCAAAATGAAGTAGTACTGGAAGTTTCCCATACTAATGTTGAGACACAGTATTGGGGTCTCTATTATATACAGCAGCCTTCCAGAATACTTTCAGGCACCTATTTTGTGAGCTATTGCTCAATATGTATGTCACACTGAAGCACCTCAAGTAATATGATTTTGTGCCCTCAAACAGTGAGAATAAGAGACAAAAGCACATCCAGCCTCACAGCAGACTAGACCAATTGTGAAGTATGATGCTAGCAAGGTAGCAAATTTCTGCCTGGACCCAAAACAACCCACTGTTACAATAATTCTGAGTACCTGACATATGGCCACTTCTATCATTAACTGAGGACAATGTATGGAGTTTAGTTTAAAACCTTTTCTATAAAATGTTTTAATTTTGTCAACAAAAAAATGAGCTTGTATTTCTATCAGCAACTTACAAAAGATATTTTTTTCTTCTAAGCCTATTTCTCTTTGAAATACTTCCTCTGCTTTCTGACCACAAATTTTCTGCGTAAATTTAAGGATTTACAAAATGTATTTCTGTCTTTATAATCAGTGAGGCTGAACTATCTTTAAGGTTTGGGCAGGGTAATATATTCATATTGCCAAGAAAGTAATGAAGTTATTGTGTATTTTTTCTTGTGGAAAATCCTTGTGGATTTCCCGTTTACAGGAGCCAATTTTATAATTCCTCTATACTATGTGATGAACAGGCATCTGTGAATAACAAGACAAAATAATGGAAATTCAAAAGGAGAAAATGGTCTTGAAAAATAACTGTAACTTTAGATATGCAAAGGGATATTAACTAACTGAATTAGTAACTCAGGCTCTCTCCTCTGAGCTAAAGGTATGTTTCAACAGCTGTGCTAAACATTTGGCTAGCATTTCCTGGATAAACACTTCAGACTTCAACTGTATGATGGGGAAAAGATGAGAGAAAGAAAAGACTTACTAGTTTAAGTTTTACAAAGGCTATGGAGTTGCTATGGATTAATAAAGTTTCAGAGGACTGAAGAATAGGATATAATAAGGAAAAGATGTTGTGCTGGGTATATCAATACATATTTTCACCTGGAGTAATGTCTACAGCTTTACTCACCTGAGTAAAAGGACAGTGTAGCAAAACCAGAAGAGATTCAGAAACAAGCAAAGAATATGGAACTGTATAAGAATGTGCATTATTGTTTGGCTTAAGAAACAAATAAAAGGTATGTAAATTTCTATATAGAGTATATAATCACTGACATACAGAAGAAAAATTGGGATCACTGTTTATACTGTTTTAGCATACAAGAGCAAGAGATGAGAATGACATTGAAAAGCAGCCAATTTAAATCTGAAAAAAAAATAATCTTGTTTTATTTGTTTTTCTTTGTTCTTGAACATGATGGGGTTTTATTTTAGTGTTCCCCGCCTCAAGACATGTTTAGATCTCAAAACTCAGGATCAGCCTCTCATAGGGATGATGAGACATCAACAATCACATTAGACAAGACAAAAATAATAAGGGCTGAAACAAATGAAAATTCCAGAAGAAATGATTGCAACTTCCCCTGAAACATCTGATACAGTCAGAGGTAGGACACTGGATTAAATAAACCATGTAGTTTGACTATGTTACTATCATTTCAGTTATATAGCCATGTTAGTCATGAAAATGTGTCAGTCTTCCACACTGAGCAATGAGTTACAGTAACATTAATGAATGGGAGGACAGAAAAATTATTATTGGTCTTAGACACGACTTCTGTGTGCATGTATATGTATACACATACATTAAAAAAATATGATATATATATATATATGCATACATAAATGCATACAAACATGTAGACACACACAGACAGACACATGACTTCTGAGATGTGGGACTTCCCAGAAGGTCTGAAGACCACTCTTTACATGCTTCTCTGATACACATTATCAAACTGTGTAAGTGTGTGTGTGCATATGTTTAACAGTGTGCAGAAGAAAATTTGAGAAGGAAGGGAAGCATGAACCAGATTGTAGGAGAAATCATTCATGTTACTGTCATTATTTCAGATCTGTGCTTGAAAACACATTTCCAAATGCCGTGTACATTGGCTAAGTTGACCAACATCCAAGCAAGAAGAAATACACAATATTAAAGGGACATTGAAAATATTTATATATACGTCTTCCATTCTTTCCTGTGTTAGTATTAATATATCACATTCCTGACAACTGACAGGATGAGAAATTTAAAAAATTAATTTGATTTTTTCCACTTACCCTGTTTATCTGTTTCACGTTTCTGCCTAAGTTGAGAGAAAACTTGGATAGTCCATCTATGGGTTTTAATTTATCAGCTCTAATGGGTTAGCTCATTATAAATTTGCCTTTTCATCAGGCTTGATCAAATCATTTTAGTTTCAGGAATACCTAAACTTAATGTATACTCTAAGTTGACAGTATCTCTTTAAACATAACTAATAATTCCTCAGACCCATTTGTATGAAAATTCTGTCACCTTTTACACTTACATTAATTCACACTTATTTTCCCTCCCTGTTTCTCCAGGAAGGCTTTCGAGAACATGAATGAAACAGACTGTCACCTCATCTGGTAGTGGAACTACAGTAATCAATTCTGAGGCTGCAAATAACTACCAGCCAAACTAACATAGCTATAAACTAGTTGCAGGTAGCTAAGATAGCAAAAATCAGCATGACTACATTTAAAAAGGTAAATGACAAGATAGGTCTCCATTTCAATGAGGTAAAGTTGTGTATAAGTTCCCCCATCCCCAAAACACATCTGTAAGGTCATTATCTCAAATAAAAATAAAAGAGAGAAATAAGTTACTTTTTAAAAAGCTAAAAATGAAATTACCTTTAAGCCTATTGCTAGACAGAAAGAAATCGAGCTGGATAAAGAAACAGAAGAGAACCAGACAATATTGATAAATGTGTGTTGTCAGCTCTGAGAACCGAGGATTGGTTGGCATCAGCTGAGTTTTGTCTCATGATGCACGCTCTAGATGGTTCTCGCTGTTTTGTTACAAATAGTCCAGGTATTTAGTTTTCAAATTGCAATGGGCTTATTCAATCACCTTTATCTTTTTGGTCCAACTCCATAGACTTCTTAGCATCTTTCTCAGCAGGCACAGGCCTGCATACTGGATACAAACATATAGCTAGAATTATATAGTTAATATGCTGTGCAGAGGTGTCCATAGAGAGTACAAATACCAGCATACAATGTTTCATCTTGATCTGAGCAGCCAATCTGCATGCAAGATGCATTGCATGGTGGTTCCTGTAGTCTCTGAACAATAAAAATCTCTAAGAGAGAGGACGACTGCCACACTCAACTGCAAAGTAATTGCAAGCCTCCTGGCTCCTCCCAGTTTGCTTGCACTGGCCGCGGGAGGGTAAAGAAACGTTACTGATTGAATTAATGGATTGCCTTTCCATGGATTGTCTTCCAAGCAAGAACACTTCTGGATCACCCCAGAGTAGACACTTCATGAGATGGGTTCCTGGCAGACCTCACCACTGTTCCTGCTTGCCAGCAGCACCTTTTCACAGAAGCATCTTCACCTCTTCTGTCCCGTAGCAAGCGCAGGAGTGGGATTTTTTTCATACAGTAATGTTTCTGTGGAGTTAGTTTTTTGCTTTATTTTATTTTCCTAGTTAACGTTCATTTGACCTTATCAAATGTGTTCTCCTGCAATCATCTGAAAGGCCTTATTCAAACCAACATATGATTTTTTTCCCTTTTACATCACCTTAAAGGGACACATCTGTTGACATAGCTTCTGCAGAGAATGGATTTCATCTTTTGCTGAAGTTTTGTTCCAGCCAAAGCCGAACCTCCTGAAGATTGTAGAAAAAGGGGCCTTTACCTCCCAGGTAGGCGATTTTTTGTCTCTGCACAATGCATACTCGCTCAAATGAAACCCCATAGGCCACATTGGCATTGTTATCCATGCAGTCAGCCACCACTTGGCACTGGGGTGGCAATGAAAAGCGCTCCAGGAGCTGGTGAGCAGCTGCACATCGGTCTTCCTGGTTCCTGTGTTTCTTAACTTCAAATGAAGAGGGAGAGATTCCAGGGGCAGCCCAGCCATCTGACGGGTGAGCCTCATCAATGTAGACCAACAGAAAGTCAGCCACACCAGAGAACTCCTCCACCAGCTTGCTGAAGGCTGACAGCTGGCTTGTGAACGGTGGTCAGGTAGCTGAACCAAAGTTGACCACCAGCGGCCGCTCGGAGTTGGCAAAATCCAGAAGGTGGCATTTGGTTCCACACTTGCCACTGACACTCTTCCAGCTGCTACTGCTGCCATCACTACCCTTGGCTATGTGGATTACACTGGAGTTTGGGGCTTCTCCTCCCAGTTTGACCTGACGGCAAAACAAATTACAACAGAGCAAGTTAGTGTGACTTGCTTGTTCAGTATCCTTAAGACAACTCTCTTCAAATAGTCACCTGTTCAAAGAGTACACCTAAATACTTGCATGGGCACTAGCATGGGGATATGGCAAATCATCACAAGCAGCAGCTTCAAAAAGTCTGTCTAGTCAGTCTCTATTCACATTGCATGGAAATGTGGCATTCCTGGCAGTTGTATCACTTCATTATTGTTGGATAATTTGATCAGAGACCTGTCTTGTCCTACTGTCCACTACACACATAGTCCTGTTCACCCTTATGTATTTACAGACTCTTATTTGCTTTCAGACATACTAACCTCCAATTTCTTCTAACATTTCTAGGTGAGCGAAGTCTTCTAGACATTATTTTTTCACTGCCATACTCTGGCTTCTCTCCACTTTGCAGTAGAAGGAAATGTGTCACTCGATCACTAATGAAATTACTGCAAAGTAGATAGAAAACCCTTTGGAGAGCTCAATATTGGATGGTCCACTGTCAAAACAGAATGATATCTTGAGTGGGTGTCTGCAGAGATCTTTTGTGTTTGGTACTCCTGAGTATTTTCCTTCTTGGATTGCAGGATTGAAGAGAATATACACACATGAAATCTGAAAACTTCTCAAAATTGAAAGGCACTGCATATGCAGATGTGAAAATCAGGAATGCAGTACAGAATGATTTTGGAGGATTGAAAAAATGGCTTGAAATATAGGATGCAGTGCAGTGGGGCCAAGTGCAAAGCACCAAATTGTGGCTGGAATGATGAATTACCAAATTTTGTGGTTCTATAGCAATGTTTCTCTAGAAGATGATTGGGGAAAAAGCAGCAAGAAAGGGGGAAAGTTTATATGATGCCTAAAGTAGGGTGAAGTGAAAATGAACTGTTCTCAACTCTAACCCCAGATCTAACGCAGACCCAACAGGCAATTTTGGAAAAGTCATTTGGCCTGGCCATTTCTATTTCCCTGCCTATAGGAAAAAGACAGAACGTAAGCATCTCACAGAAGGGACTGCCAGAACACGGTGAAGCCTGCAGAGGGCTCCAAGATCCTTAGCTGATAACTGCTATAGAACCACAAAATATTATTACATAAGACAGTAAGTTTTTAATGAGGTCTGCCACAGCAATTCCTATATATCTGCCTTTAACATCAAGCTCTAGTACAACTGTGTCCTGTCTATTTGATTATGTTCAGAACTGTTGCTTTGAAGGAAACATACAGGGCCAAATACTGAAGTCTTTCATATTTTATTTCTTTCTGAAGCTACATTCCCACTGAAGTCAACAGAAGTTAGTGCTGAATGAGAACTGTGTAAAAACTGAATAAATAACTTGATTTTTGGTGCACTGCTATTCTACATTACATTATAGGGTATCTTGGTAAGTCAGATACAGTAAGAAGTTAACAGCTGAATACTTAACTGATGCTATTGCTGCTGCACACAGATCCAGAGGCAAGTATATTGTAGATACTGGATCCTCCATTTCTTCCTGAGAAAACTGACTACCTTGAACAAATCTACAGTTATTCATGATTCGGCATTATTTAATCAGAATAGCAACAGATGCAAGAGTTTCTAAGACACTATCCTTAAAGCTGCCAGAATTCACAGCTACATGAGAAGATCTCACAGCATGTTGGCGCTCTATATAAACATCATTTTGACTATTTTCTGTGGGGCAAATTGAGACACAACTGTGCGGCCATTCACTTGGAGATGAACAAGGAAGAGAGACACAGAAAGAAAGGCTGAGTCCCACAGATCTTTCCAGGCCAAGCACATAGTGATCATGCCACTGGGAACAGGGGATGTGCAGCTGCAGGTGCACTGAAGGCAAGGGAAGCAAGTAATGCCCCAGGAAAGCACAACACCTTGTGGCTCCCCTCTCCATAAACCTGCATCTGCAGCATTGTTATCTGCTAGAGACTCAGTAACAGTTAAAAAGTCCCCCTTGTGCTCATCTGCCTACAAAAGCTACCGAGGTTTGAAATAGCTGAGATTAGGACCTGCTGTGTGAGTGTGCTATCTGTTGAACTCAAGGAAAAGAGCTGTATCCCACTTTTTGAGAAGAAAGGATCTATCTGGAGAGAGGCAGGCTCAGAGACTGAGGCTGTAGAATTAAGCATCTTGCAGTGTTTAAGAAGTGCGGCTACAGGCCACCTACACCTTAGCAGGTAGTATGTATTCTTCTGTGCACCTGTTGAAGATCTCATTTCTCTCTGCCATTCTGTGCAGTAAGATAGGCAAAACAGGAGTGAGTAAGCTATAGGGCCAAACCTGAGCAAAGAAATACACAGGTCAAGGTCATGTGGCAGCCATATAATCATTCTGAGGGCTGCATTCAATCCATAAAATCAGCTAGACAACTCAGCGTTTTGTGGTAAATTGGCAACTACCAAAAAAGGGCACAACTCACGAAACACATCTCCACAAACACTAGATCCCTCTCTACCTAGAAAGCTTAACTGTTCTTGCAGTACCAAGCAAATGCTTTTTCAGAGCTAGCTTGGCCAAAATGTGCCTTTTGGCCAAAGCCTGACACGTAAGTATTTGTGCTGCACCCACTCCCTCGATGAATAATGGACCTCAGTATTTAGGAGTATGCTCTCATCTAGTCAAAGAAGTAATGACATGTGATTATCTCATAAATCACAATTAAGCAATACACTTTGAATTTCTAATATTTGCTGGCACTCTTCAGAGAAGAAAAGTAAAGGAAAAAGGATGGGAGCAGCTAAAACTCAGCACTGAACAGAACTGCTCAGGAGACAAGAAACATCTGAACATCTGTTTCCCCTCACTCTTCTGGTTTTATTTTAATAAAACTATTATGACTGAAAATACTCTAACCAACACTCTTGAACTGGGAAACCACAGTCTGTTTATTGATCATATTTAAGCAGAAAAAGAAGCCACATATCGTAAGCTCTTCATTACCAACTCTTCACTCAGGTCTACCAAACACATCTATTCCTAGGTGAGTTTGCAAACCCTGACGGAACAAAACCAAAACAAATCCCATCGAACACTGGCGTAAGAATGCCCTTCAAGTGCTATTTAACACGGATACCAAGGGTGGCAATGTATTTCAATGTTCTCCAGCTACGCAAGTTTGCATTATGTCTCTCATACTCCTTACTGACAAAAAAAAATAGATGGATTTAGGAAATAAAATACAAATATGCCCTACGTCACCTTATAGCAGTTTCTCTTCATTTCCCACAGCCATGAAGTAAGTCTCATTGGCCGCAGGTTACCTATCATCTTAATTTTTGTTTCTAGGAGGGCTTGTGTTGAGTTTTTTCCGCTTAATGAGACATCCTTGCCAAACAGGCATTCATGAGGCATTTTCTGCTCTTGTATAGGAGTAATTAGGTCGGTGCCTCGTTCCATGCCAGTGTCGGACACTCCAAAAAGCAGCCCTGCCCAGTCGTTAATGCTTAAACATAAGCAGCAGCATCTCCACTAATTGGTCTTGATGAAGCGCTGACGTTCCCAAAGGGACTCTTTATTTCACCAGGCTCAGAACCGATTGACACAGGATGACAATATCATCCTTGCTGATCATCTGCATTGTAGGCTTTGGCTGTCTTCTTTGTTGTTATTGAAAGAAAAAATAGCTCTTGGAAAAGAAAATCAAGCAATGAGAAAACAAACAAAAACCCCCATGTATTCAGCCAAAATGCTTTTGAAATCTTACACAAAGGCAGGCAAAATATAAATCCTGAGAAACAAACTAGCAGAATTCCCCTCACACGCAATCCAGTATTTTTATAATCACGTACTTATGTACGTAAATATTCGGGCATTCGGTGACAGCCTTCTGGATGAGGTGGAAACCAGGCAGCACACCAAGGCACCCCCTCCTATAAAGACTGCATGGGACACACAAGGTAGGCCAACCAAATATGAGAGCCATCCAAGCCAACAACAAGAGCTAGCACCAGCCCAACACCAAAGCAGTGACTTGCATCATTTGTGAAAATTTTGTGTTGACAGCCTTGGTACTGCATCTCCTTCTCCGAGTCTGCATGCAGAGTGAAAAGGGAACAAGGCTGCTGATGCTTTAGCACAAGATTGCAAAATGAAGGAGACTTAAGAGCAGGAAAGAAAGCCCTATTCATAAACTACAGGCTAGAAATAGCACATACTGCTAACTTTGTTGTACATTCTCCATGAGGACTAGGAAAAGCCCCGTGGACAAAACATCACCTCCTCATTTACCTTTTCTTTTTTCTCATTTTGCTTTTACCAGCTTTAGCATAACCCTCCTGGGATGCTGTGCACTGGAATACGGCTTTCATTCCCTGTATGAGGGATTTTCAAACAGTTGGGCAGACTCATCAGGCTGTGTAACCCCCTAAAGAAAATAGGTGTTGCCAGACAATTAGCATTCTGTGATATTAGCCATTTAAATATGGACATGCTGTGTTTTGGACTGAAGTCCAGCAACTGGCAGTGAACTGAATCCCCAGAGTTTTTGCTCCTTTTCAAATTCTCTGATTTTATTTGATCCAATTCAGCTAAATATAGCCTCTGAACAATCCAATATTTCTCAGTGCTTCATCCAAATCATAATCAGAGTCTGGCCAGAGAATTACACAAATTATTATTTTTTTATTTACATGACCCAGAGTTGTACAGTGGATAAAAACTACAGGAGGCCCTTGTCTGGAGTAGTATACATGAGTGGAAGCTCTTCATTTGTCATGGGGAGGTGGCAGCTTGCTTTAAGAGACCCAATTACTTGAATCGGAGAGCAGAGATTTGAATTGACTGGAATTCTCCCAGAATCCAGAGTCTTTTATTTAAGATCAGGTGTGTAAAGCTGAAGGAAGAAAGTAGGAGACAAAAGGGCACAGTCCAGATAAAAATAACTAGTCAAATGCTGCTCTCTTTAGTTAAAAACTGCCAGTCCCACAAATGAGTATGTGTGGCAGAGGGAAAGCATAAGGGAGCCTTTTGC